TTTTACTTTAATCTTTAAAAAAATAGATCCTTGCCCATATGGTCTTCAGTGCCTTCTAGTTCACAGTCTCACTTTTTATCTCTGAAGTTGTTCTCTGCAAAGTCCTGAATGAATTCCTAATCACTGCATCTGAAGACCGTGCCTTAGTGCTTACTCCATGGACGCTTCAGCAGCAGGCCACATGGTGGACTGCCTACTCCTTCCGCTGGCCTCTGAAGAGTTGCCTCACCATCATTTTACTTCTTTGGTTATTTCTTATTCTCCATTTTGGATTCGTATGTATCTGTTCATACCTTAAATGTTGGTGTTTCTCGCAAAAGTCTTCCCTGTTCTTCCCAGAGTCAATGTAGGGAGACATGGTATGGTGCCTCCATACCATTTTCCCTCATTCATTCAAGACTAGTCATTCACTGAAAGTTTTTGACATAATGGCCACTGTCAAAAATGGCCTGAGAAATCAGCTGTAAACAAAAAAGTACCCACAAGACCTGCTCCAGTGAGCAGACTAGCTCATGAGACACAATGATCAAATAATTACACAAACAAGTGAATAATTATACATGATGATGCATGCTATGAAAGAAAGGAACATAGATCACAATAATATATATAATTATATAATATACATATATGAATACATATACATGCACACATATGCATATATACATATACATGTAGTGCATGTGTATATATACACACACATTGTGGAGATTGACCTCTGAGTTAAAAGTCTTAGGATTACATATGTGAGTGAAGACTTTAAGACTTGAAAGTGCACAAGTGGGGGGGGGGGGGGGGGTTGGGCAGGCATGCCTGTAGTTGCAGCATTTGGGTGGCAGAGGCAGGAGGATGAGGGATTCAAGGTTTGAGTCAGTTGGGCTAGGTGGAACAGGTCTGTGTCAAAACAAAACAAAATATCATAAACAGGACAGCACATAAAAAGAAGTACAATAATGAATTATGAGGGAAGAATAGTATACACTAAACATGAGCAACTCTTAGTCCATACAGGCCCTTGAAGGATCATTTCTGCTCAAAAATCAGTGGAGCCACTGAAGAGTTCTGAATGGGAGACATCCTAATCATACTGGCAGTATGGAAAGATTTGAGGTTTTGTTTGTTTCAAATTACACTATTATTTATCTATTTATTTGTGTACATGTATGTGTACATGCACATGTGTGCTACATCATGCATGTATCATGCATGTGAGGGTTTGCACACACACATGTGCGTGCACACGAGCACACCAGTGCACACATGCATGAACCCACACAATGAATGTGGAGGTCAGACAACAACCTCTGGGAACTGGTTTTCTCCTCTACCATGTGGGTTCTCAGGATAGAATTCGAGTCTTCAGGCTTGATGGCTAGCTCCTTTCCCACTGAGACATCTCATCGACTCAGACTTTTGCTTCTTGAAGCAAGCTTTTGTTGTACGCTAATGCTTGGTGAAAAAAAAAAAATCATTTTTGATGCAATGTAGAGAATGGAGTCAAAAGGACATGAGCAGGTATGGGGTGAGCAGCCACAGGCTTTTGTAGCATTCTAGATGGAAGAGGCTTAGACATTGGGCCTGGGAGTGGGAGTGGTTTGACCTGAGAGATATTTAGAAGGAAGTGAAGTGAAAAGGTCTAGGAAGAAATTTCTTAGTTATCTAATGCTCTCTTTGAGCCTCACCCCTAATCCTGTACCTTGCCCTTACCTACTCACCTTTCATCTAGATCATTATTTCTGAAAGTGTTGCCTCAGGGGGCTTCTTGTAAGACCACAAAGTTGTCCAAATGTAAGTCCTTTTCTTGAGCTTTTATAAGTAAACTGTGCAAAATTCCAGACCTTTTTCTCCCCTTTTAATGATAACCAACTGAGTTATAAAAAGGTACTAAAATTTGTTAGTCATAAACTAAAATTAGCTCTTAACTGGAGTTCACAGAAGACTCTAATTTGGTTTTCTACTAAGAAGTCTGTCTGCCAGACAATATTTGGCAATGCTGCAAAGCCCCTGCACATAACACACACAGCTATTTGGCATGCTCACCATTTTTAGGAAGGACACTTTGCTATTGGCACATTACCAGTGATGTTTGGAGCTGGTCATGGTTTATGGTGCCTGGCATTTATGTATTTTAATTACAAATTATGATTTAAGAAGTACAATCATGATCAATTTAATATGGTGTTATTCGATTAACTCTAGGGCACAAAGGCGAGAGCAGCAAGAGCACCACTCTGACCTTATTCCTATGACCTGCCTCCCTCCCTCGCCAATCCAGAACAGGAGCAATAGGCCCCAGCCTCAGGAGCATTACACTTGCTTTGCCATCTGTCTGGAAGGCTCCCCACCCCAAACCCAAACCCAGTGATCCCATACCTCCTGTCTTTCCTGAAGGTCCTTGCTGTGTTCTTGCCTCTATGAGGCTGTGTCTGAGTACCTTATTTAAATTATAATCATCTAGACCCCAGAATATCCAACTACAGCACCCTGATTTGTTTTCTTCTTGGCAGCTACTACCTCCTAATACACCATGTATTTTATTTATTGACTTACTGACAATTTACCTCCACATAGAAAATAAGCTCCATGAGAGCAAGAGTTTTTATTTCTGTCATTTCCTTCTATATTACAATACCTAGGACAGTACTGCTCAGAGTAGACAGCAGCTGAAATTACTGCATCAGAAGGAGTAGCTACCCCAAGAGGATTGTAACCTCTTAGTCTCCTAAGCCACAGATGCACTTAACTCAAGTCCAAATCATTCATAGCCCTGCTGCTAGAGCAGCCACACACAGGAACCCAGAGGAACACATTTACACATGCATTTCCTTGGTACCAGACCCCACTAAGTTCCATCCCAGGCTCACTCCTTCTCACCTTTCAAACACATTCAACTGAGACCTCCAAAGAAGAGTTCATGCATTCAGATTAATATTTGACTAATTTCTTTTCACAATTAAGCATATGCAAGGTTTTATCCAAGATGAACAAGAATACAGATTTGATCCCTCCCACAGCAAAGTTTACACAGTGGTAGGCATGTCACCCTGTTCTGTTTCCAGAAGGTAGACTTAGTCTTTTATAGGAAAATATGAATGTTGTATTGAAATTTGACAGACACACAAGAAAGAAAAAGGAAATTTAGGACAGGCCAAGGAGAAGCAGAAGGCAGTACACAGGAAAGGCTATACTTAGCAAGAGCCATTTTAAGGGCCTAGAGGAGAAAGATAGTGTCTGCAGAGAGATAGCAGATCAGTGTACTGATGGAAGAGTTTGCATACAGTTAATGCCAAGGTCTGAAGTATACTGGGTAGCAATGGCTATCCCATTAAAGGACATCTGGGCCCTACGAGCCCAGACTTTTGAGACTTTGAGAACAACAGAAAAAAAAAAAAAAAAGAAAAGAAAAAAAGCAGGGCTGGAGAAATGATTTGGCCATTAAGAGCATGCACTGCTTTTGAAAAAGACCTAGGTTTGATTCCCAAAGCCCATGTTAGGTGCCTAACAACCATCTGTAATTCTAGCTCCAGGGGTATCCACTGTCATGACATGAACAAATAGTTTAAGCTTCTTTCTATCCTCTCTCCCAATCCTGATCTTTCCTTACCACAATGGGCTTCTAAGTCCCACTGTCTTCCTCCTGAAGCCTCTCTACTGCTCCAACCTGCATGCCTTTCTCTCCTTCAGCCCCAAGAATCCTTCATCCTTCTGCCTCCATTATTCTGGGAGACAGACAATGTCACAAGCATGTCTAGGTAACCCTATACCTTAGTACTTAGTACTGATATAAATTGAGTCACAGTGAGACAAGACCATGATAAGTACAACCCAGAACAATCTAGCCCTTCCTTACAACACACCACTATTTACACTGTACTAAAATACCCCTTCCCTCCAGCAGACAGCGCTGATGTGTGCAGGGCCCAGGGCCTACATGTCCCTCCTTCCTAGCTGTTGTCACCTCTTTCTGCTTTTAATGTAACTAGTCAATGTTTCCCCTAATGGGACTGAAGAAACTCACTCTGTTCAAACTACAAGTTGCTAGGAAAAAAAAATCATCTGTGGTAAAAGAAAGCAGACCAGCGGTTAGGAGCTTTGGAGACCTCAATTGGACTAAGGCATAAAGACTTTCTTGTACAACTCTGTCAAAAATTGAAGCATACAAAAGAATCTAATTTATTATATGTAACTAGCTAGACCTTGGTAATGTCAAGTTAGAACAAACTAAGCTAAAACATAGAAAAGTTAATTAAAAAAAAAAAAAACGAAAACAAAATAGAAACCCTGCTAGAAGTTACAGAAGCAGTTTCTGAAGAACAGAGTCTTTTATATCCCAGAATGCTCCTTGAGAACCTGAGACTAGCTTATCATCTGTGATGATGCCGGGGGGTGGTTCTACTCTCCTGTGAGAAGGGATGACATCTTGCTAGGTGACATAGACATAATGGTCATGTGGCTAAGTGGATGAGGGGCTCATAGGGAGGTGGAAATTCGTGTTTGAGGTCATAGAACATGGTTGGGAAAAGGGACTTTATCTTCCTCGTTTGACATCTTGCTCCAGACTCCTGCACACACTCTATTCTCTTCCACATCTCCTGAACAGTTAGTTCTTTTGTGTCCCATCTGTCCTCCCATGTGGTAAATGGCCTCTTGTCCCCACTTAGCACTGACCATGCAGTAGTGTTGAACAAAAAAATCCTCTGGGATAAGAATGAGAGGGCAACGTGAATGAGACTGAAGGACGCAGGGGAGGGAGGGAGGGCTAAGGGGGTGGACTAGATAGGACGGGTCATTGAAGCGGTGGAAATAATAAGAAAATACGTATTCGGGTAAAACGACAGTAGGTTCAGGAAAATACGGGATAGGAGGACAGGATTTGTGAGAGAGAACAGGAAAATCAGGTCAGTGGGAACACAAGAGAGAGAGGTTGGAGGTCAACAAGGAATAATTGGCGGTTAAGGTCAGAGGTCATCAGAAAACAGCAGGCAGCAGTATGACATTACCTGCTTATGCGTCTGTTTCTGAGGCATTGCTGCAAAAGTAGAAAGCACCTCAAACCCTGAAAAACCTACAAAACGCTCCCTCTCCTGGGGAGAAGTTTCTCCCTGGCCACACACAGGAAATGCAGACTCTCTTCCACTTCAATTCCCAGTCACCAAGGGTTCTTCAGGGACAGCTGTCGTTGTGGGTCCCGGCGCCCTTGTAGAACAGCGCCGGCTCCTCCTTGACGCGGTTACCGAGCAACCGACAGGCACCAAGGGCGCAGGCGCACTCAGCGCCCCCGCCCGGCACGAAGAGGAGGCGGAGCTTGAACGTGCAGGGAGCCTCTGACTTCGCTAAGCCCCGCCCCCTCGGCGAAAACTACGTCCGCCCGCCGTGCGCACTGGGAGCTCCCGCAAATGGGAAGGGCTGGGGACGGCAGACCCCGCCCCCTCATGAATAATGCAGCACCCGGGCGGTGTCCCGGACCCGGAAGTGGAGTTGCAGAGTCACCGCAGTGGCTGAGCTGCTGACAGGAGGCGGCGGCGGCGGAGGAGGAGGCGAGGCAAGACCTGCGGCTCCGCGGGGCCACTGCCGCCGTAGCTCTAGGCAACCCTACGTAGCTACGCCGGCCTCAGTCAACCCGCGAGCCCATCGCCGCCTGTCCGTCCTTCCATCCGCTCATCCGCCCGACTGGTCTGGGCGGCCTAGTCTACAGCGTCTGCCGGGCTTCTGGGGCCGCCGCCCCGCGCGGTCCCCTCGGCGTCCTCTGGCCGCGCCCGGCCCCCGGCCCGCTCGCCCGCCGGCACCATGATGGAGGAGATCGACCGGTTCCAGGTGCCCACCGCGCACTCGGAGATGCAGCCGCTGGTGAGGGGGCGGGCAGCGGGCAGGCCAGGGCCGGGGAGGGGCGACGCCACAGGGGAGGGAAGAAACTAGGCCGCGGGTGTTGTGCGAGGGGGCGCCATCTGATATGGCTGGGGGGAAGTCCTGAAAACGCATCCCCGGGGGAGGGAGACTTGCAGAGCTAGGAAACCATGGGAGATTACCTGCGGTTATTACGAGCGAAGGACTTGGAAGGGCGGAGGGCACAGAACGCGGTCGGATAGGACCGAGGGAAGCACGGTAGTGCGCACCGTTAGTGAAGGCCTATTGAAGGCATGTCACAGGGCACCTTTGGCAGCAGGCCCAGGGGGTCGAGATGTGGGTGGCTGAGAAAGGCGTTTAGTCCTCGAGGCCTGTGATGCTCAGGGCGAGGGAGGAGGCCAGGAGATGAGTCTAAGGAGAACTGGAAATAGGCTTTTAGAAAAGGAGAGGCCTGCCCAGTGGTCCTTTAGATAAAGATAGCAAAGCTGAACAGAAACCAGGCACCGATGGGGGCAGAGGTTCGGGGCAGGACCCCGGAATTTCCTTCTCGAGAGAGGAGCCTCAGTTCGAGCTGGGGACATCAGAATTGGAAGGGGGAGAACGAGTGGTGGCTAGACGGAGAATCAAGGGTGTCCGTGGGAACGCTAAGTATCTCCAGGATAGGAGGTTAAGCTGTACTGGAGCGGCTGTGCCAAGCGGTTCGGAATTTGGAAGAGCCCCTGTCATCTTAGGTCTACGTGCTTGGAGTCTTTGCAGGGTGGGGATCCTGCCTTCGGTCTGCGGTCCTGGAGTCAGGCAGGAATGATGTCATCGATGCCGGCTCCGAGAATGGAAGGGGGAGGGTGATGCCAGTTTGTGGAGGCATGGCCTAAAGAAGAGGATGCCTGCTGGCCGTTGTCCTGGGACTACCTGACTGTCATCGTTGTCAGCAAATGGGTAGGAAAGCCAGAGGCCTCGCCAGCTGGCCTAGAGAAGGGTGAGGGAAAGAATGCAGTTGCAGTATTCATTCACTTAACCCACCTTGGGGCCTGTGCTAGCAAGAGCTAAAAAAAAAAAAAAAAAGGCAAGCTAGGCCAGGAACCGAAAGGTATGGCTGCCTTGCTCAAAGTGTCTTTCCTGTATGTTAGGTTCTTCCCTTGGGCCCTCAGCTCCCCACTGACAGATGATATGCTTTGTGGTTTCCTAGATAAGTACTTGCCTATTACAGTAGCCAAGGTGGACCACAGTGGGAAGGTAGGAACTATGGCAATCTTCGTGCCAGTTTGCTGGATAATTCGTTGGAGATAAAGTGTCATCTTGTACATTTTGTGAAGCCGAAACAGATGGGCTTTATAGAAATGTACAATATTGGACTGAGAGATGCTACAGGACCTTTTCCTACTTGATGCTACTACTGAATTATTGGGAACCAGAAAATATCCAGGGAGAAGTTTGTTCTGTGATTGTAAAAAAGGACCTTGGGCTGAGTTAGTACTTGCTTAATAGGTTCCCTGTTCAGCTAACCTTGTTTTCAAACTAGGGAGTCCTTCCAGTTCTAAGCTAATCATGTGTGGCCGAAAAGGGCCTAGGTTCCACCCAGTAAGCCCAAGAGAAGGGGGTAGTTCTTGTTTCTCATCTTTGGTTCTCAAGATAACAGCTGTGCAAGGAAAGAGAAGAACAAGTAAGGCCAACAGGATTACACAGTTGTCCTCGATGACTGTTGTTTCTTGTTCCTCTTTCTTAATCATGGGTAGAAGAATCCAGGATTTTCTGTTTTTTGTGGCTCTAAAGCAGAGAAGTTTGTGGCGAGGAGGAGCTTATTAGAATAGCTGTAGCTGCCCCCCCCCTTCTTTTTAAAAGCTATAGTATGCAAGAGATTTCTGTGTTGAGGCTGGGGAATCCTAAAGAAATAACAATATAGTCTCACACTTGGGGGTCATAGACAGTACCCTATTTCTTGACTCTCTTCCCATATTGGAGTCTAGAGACAACCCCCCAAACTCCTTAGGTGCCCTTTATTCTGTTGAGAACAGCAGAATCTTGTGTAGCATTTCCACAAGAACCCTCATTCTGGTCATAAGGAATCAAGAAGTCACAGCACAGAGGAAGAAGGCAGAAAGACTCAAAATGAGGGTCCCGGGCTCAGGTCCACTGTGACCTTTTCCACTTTTGCTATTATTTATGGGGACCTCTAGGAAGTCTCTTTCCTCCTTGAACTGTTTTTCCAATTACAAAACAAACACAAACTATTCATTTAATGTTTAATCAGAAGTTCCTTGTTCTCCCTTCCAAAGAATATCATGGAACCTAATATATTGACTCAGAAAATTGACTTACCAAATACTTATTGAACATTTACTCTATTCCAGAAACTACACAAGATATCAGGGACACAGTGGTTAGCAATATAAGTTGAGATCGGGCCCTGGCCTGCTGGAGCACACAGTTCACTAAAAGCTTATTTCTCTTGCTCACTCTATGAGAGTTCCCTGAGAGCAGAGTGGTGTCTGCCTCCTTAGACCCCAAGAAAAGACAGCAGCCCCAGTATTGGCCCCTTTTAGGACCTGGGTGTACAGACAGAGACCTGTGTCTTGGGCTCCATCATCAAATAATCCTCCCCACCCACAGTACTAAGGAAATGCAGGGGCTATTCCTCACTTGGAAAGATGGTCAGTGGGAGAAGCATTTTTGTTTGTTTGTTTGTTTGTTTGTTTGTTTGTTTAAAGAGAAACTCATCTTGAAACGGAAGGTTGGCAGCAGATCAGAGAAATGGTACAGCCAGTAGATCTGGGTGTTTCCAAGGTGCTAATTTAAGCATTAGCTCTCAGCTAGTGGGAGGCAGAGAAAGAAATCCCTGCCCTATTGTTGCTGCTGCTGTTACAGCTGCCTTTAGCCTCCTGTCTGGGGTGGGAATTTGCCCAAAAGGAGCGGCTTCCCTTCATTCCCTATCATGCCAATTATTTAATTGGCCCGGCTGCATCTCAGCAGCTGAACCAGGCCCCAGCCTATCTCTGAGCTCCCCAGGGTTTCTTCTTGCCTCCTTAGGAAAGAAATGAAAGCTCTTCTTGGTGACCTATTCCCTGGGCTCTGCTCCTGCTGTGTCTTCCAGAAACTTTGGAATTGGCCCATTTGTTTCCCAGCTGTGCTGTACACCTTACTGATCCAGGGCAACTCCCCGATACCCAGGGCTCTGTTGAGCAACTGAGTAGTATCTGGGCTGTTGTTGGTTTGAGTGGCAGGCCCTCTGGCCTGTTGTCTGTTCAGCTGATTGGTACAGCCACATAATCTACAGCTTGGAAAAGATTTGTTGCAAGAAAAACAAATAGAGCTCTTAAGTATTTAATTTCATCAATAACACTCTGCGTCCTGTGCTGTCAGAGGCATAAGATATTTACAGAGTGGCATATGGCAACAGATGTGGTCCCTGCACGCTTGAGAGAATGCTAGTCTAGCCTCACTGAAACCAGATTACCCATTTACTCATTTGTTTAGTTCATGAGTGCTTGCTACATGCCTGCTCAGTTCCTGGTACTTTGAGGATACAGAGACAAGTAAAGGCTCTGCTTATGGATCTCCAGAGGAAGGGTGGGCTGGAACGATGACAGGAGAGTTTATAGATTATGTCCGAATGAGTAGCAGTGCATGGTGGTCCTGAGAGTGAGGACCACCTGACCATTCTGACTGTCTGACTGTTGGAAGTCTGAGCTGGAAGAAGATTTAGACTTCTGTTGCCTGCTGACTCTAAGGGATGGGCATTGCCAGGGTGTTATCTCAGGGGCCTGGGTCAAAGGAGCTTCTGACAGTGGAAGAGAGAATCACAATGACAGTAGTCAGCAATGTGGAAGGCCAGCCTCTATGTATGCTTTGCTCTCAGTGCCTTTAAGTTGTTTCTTGTAGTCAGGGTGGTTTTCCTGTTCCAGGGTAGATCCTCTTAGTAAGTTCATGTGGTTCCTGGAGAGAGAACATTCCTTTCTGTTTTCCTCTATGGAAAACTGGGGTTAGGTTTGCCAGGGCTTTAGTATTTAACTACACAGCTCCTCCTTAAAAAAAAAAAATACTAAGAAAGATCCTGGATGCTGTGTTGGGCTCAAGAACATAGACTCTCACTGCAGGAGTTTGTCCAGAGCAGGCTTGATTGAGGCATCATGGGATAATGAGTACCACAGGAGAACTAAGAAGGGCTCAGTGCAAAGGTGGGCTCCAGTCCAGTGGTAAGGGAGGGCTTCATAGATGACCAGATCTTAGAAGAGGGTTAGGAACCCAGTCTAACATGGTGCAGGAAAGGCAGGGATTCCAGGCAGTGGATGTGGAGGAAGAAACAGTAGTACATTTGGGATGAATTAAACGCTGTAATTATGAGAAACAAATATGAACGTGGGTCACACTCCAGTGGTGAATGAGATTGGAGGGCAAGAAGTCAGCAGGGAGGTGGGTGAGAGGTGACCCCAAGCAGATGGTGTGGGGGCACAGATGTGGATAAAGTGCAGTGGCAGGACATGGAGCCTCTTTAGAAGTGGGGTGCAGAGCTAGGGGATCACATGACTCCAAGGTTTCTGATATGGGCATTTGAATGGAGGAAAGGACCATCTCAGGAAATGTGGAAGCCACACCCCTGCTTTAGAGACTTCTTACATAGAAGGTGTCTCTTTTCCTTTGCTCAACTTCTGGGATTAGAGGGGACTTGGGAGTTCTAGGAAACCAAACATTAAGATGACAGTGACCACTCAGCCTCAGAGGGTCACTGAGATATGTGCTCCTTTAAATATTTCTCTCTCTTGCAGCCGGCTTTGCTGAGTACAAGGGAATTGGTGACAGCAAGAAACCATAGCAGGTTTTAAATTTATTCATTTCTAGATAGAGTCTCATGTAACCCAGGATGGCCTCCAGCTCAGTAACTAGCTAAAGATAATCTTGAATTCCTGATCCTCCTGCCTCTGCCTCTGTGTGTAGCCAAAAATGATAATCACAGCATAGCCAAAGATGACTTTGAACTTTGGATCCTTCTCCCTCCACCTTCCAAGTGC